GTTTTCCAAACAATACGTAGTAATATTTCACAGCAGAGCTGATACAATACATACAATATTACTACTTTCGCCAATAGTAATGGTGGTAATTTGATAAATTACCATTGATGTATGTCAATCGTACTAATTCCCTTTTCAGTGAGTACATGAAATGTATTTCATCAAAGTAACTTTGAAGTAATATATTTATTTGCGAAATGAATTACAAGATCTTGGTTTTATTTCTTTTTAAACTTTGGTTCGATTCGTTGAACATTTGGCTACAAAAATTAGGTTAACATACCCACATACGCGCACTAGCTTACCACATATACGCGTAAACATGTGTGATGCGCTATACGTGAAATGGGTGCCTGAGTGCCCATATACATTTTTCGACGTATTTTTTTTACATTGCGTATAAAATTTAATTTGGGAACTATGAAATATACATCATTGGAAAGATCTTGAACAGTTCATGTAATTCGAGTTATAAAACATCAAAATCGATCATCATTTTATCAAAATATGGCCATTTTATCAATTTTGGCCAAAAAAAATTCCAACGGCCAATTATTGGCCAAATGCCGGCCTATTTTGAAGTTTTATATCAAAAATGGAATCTACTTTTCAAGACCTTTCTAGTGATATACATAACTTTTTGATCCAATCCGACGTTCAAAATCTCAATTTTTGACGTCAAAATCGGCCATAGTGGAATTTGTATGTATATGTTTTTGTCTTCATTTTTGTGAAGAGATCAACATTGCAATCTCCACTTTATTAAAAAAAAATTCCAAAAAACTTGCTGTTGTCTTTCATATTTCGATTTTTTATGACTTTTATCACATTTCAAAGTGATTTTCATACTTTTCCGATCAATAAATACCGAAATATTTACATTTAAAAATAAAAATTCAAGAAAAAACTGACATTTCCCTTTAAAATGCATTATGGGCACTCAGGCACCAGTTTCACGAACAAACGTTAGAAAATAGGTTTCACGGTTTGAAGGTTAAATAAAAAATATGAGCATAAAATTCAAATTCACCATAATTTGTTTCATCACTCAAAAAGTATTAAGAGAAAAAAAAGCAGATTAGTAGCTCTACATTTCATGTAGTGCTAATAACAACACATTTTTAAATTTCTTCGAGGAATTTGGGCTGTCAACAACATGGCAAGGTAAAGTATTTGTTCTAGGAAACTTACCGGCAAATGCATCAAATTTGCAATTCATATTTCATTTCCTGGAAAATATGAAGAGAGAAAAAACTATTCCGGGTGCATCAATTTTTCAGATTATATTACCAATCTCATTGGTAGCATTGTTTCAAGCGAAGCATGTTATTTGAATCCTTAAATAGAGGAGAATCTTCATTGAAATTTCGGCCATTTGCATTTTGTTTGGATGTTTTCTCTTTCATCCTCTTTCTCCATTGGGATTTTCCCCTTCGTTGCATCTTCATACCTAGTTCTGGAATCTTCACAATTCATAGATGAAATACCTTGAAGCATTTTATCGTTTCATTTTTTTTTTCATCGCTATCGAATGATGAACAGAAAATCAAATTGGTGCTGCGTAACATCACAAAAAAGTCGTGAATCGCAAAAGAAACGTGGGAAGGAATTTCAGTAAAAAAAAAAGTAGAAAAAATGCGGCACTACGAAATTTCTTGACGAAAATGAGAAGCAGTTAATATTTGTTTGGATACAAGGTGATATATACTCAAAAGAACTTGAAACGGTGCAACTATTTAAGTGGTACTGTGTAGGTAAAATCATATTGGGTCCAATAGTTTTATCCAAAATAACTCAATTATTTGATGAAAATCGATGTTGTTGTCACTCGTTGAGTCGATGTGTTTTTCTTCCTTCGTGCTTCTGAAATTTGTATGATGGTGTTAATATAGTTTGACTTTGATCTGGGTGAGTACTATCAGAGCCATTCCTATCTTCGCTTGCGCCCTGGTTCAAAATCCTTTGACGTCCTTTCAAGCTGAAATTTTTAAAGGGAAGTGGAAAAAACGTAGAAATGATAAAATTTATCCACATTTTTTTTCAAAAGCAACAAAAGAACGATACATTAAAATGACTTATAAGAATGTCTTTTTTCTTGCTTTTGAAGTGGCAAACTCTTCAATCACGTCGTCATATTGATTCAAATTGGCTACATCACTTTCTATTGATATGATTGCCAGATGATTCAGCCTATCTTGACCTGTTGAATTTCTGACATAAGTTTTGGTCAACTTTAGCTTTGAAAATGATCGCTCTCCCGTTGCAACACAAACTGGGATCGCCAGTAATATGTGAAGCGCAATAACTGCATTTGGAACTAAGTTTTCCATTTTTCGCTTCTAAATTGAATTCAGTATATCGATTGCGTGATTAATATTATCTTGTTTCACTACTAAGTTCTACAAATAGTTCATCGAATTCCTATGCATTTGTAACAGTTGTTCTAGCCGCTCGAGTTTTTGATGATCAAAGTACGATAGAGATTTTGGCGGTGTCAAAATCAACGCACCAATACATATACACTGTTGTATCGTTTGTAATTTCTTACGAAACGAAATAAATATTTCTCCCGATTTGATTTCTCGATTTTAATATACAGATTTAATTTCCCAGATTTTTACAGGCCAGATATTATTACTAGTAGCCTTCAATCTCTTACTCTCTTTTTTTCAATTGGATCACCGGTGCAAATATTTTCCGAAATAAATCTTATTTTAAAAAAAAACATACGGTTTTACACTTCGAATAATATTTTTCCATGTTGCAATCATTTGTTTATTAAAACAAACGCTCCGAACATCTCAAACAAGTGAAGCAATTCATCTCTGTAAATAAGTGGAGAGAGGTATTCAGCGAACGACAACACTATCGTCACTGCGGTGTTCGTATGTATATACTTTCAATGCGCCATTCAGATGTGTGCAGACGAATTGTTTGTCAAAGCCAGTGTGAAATACACTCATAAGGCGTGTTTGATACACACACAGTTCGAAAGAAGGAACAAAAGGCATAAATAAAGAAAGAGAACATCAATGCCGCTGGAATGTTAAAGCAATAAAGCATATGAGAAAATGAGACGAAGAAACATAACGGCGTTTTATTGCCAGTGCTAATCAATGCACACACAAGGGCATGTTTTGCATCTAACAGTCGAAACTCGCTTGCAATTGAATTGTCACTAAATACACATTCATAGGCGTTTCCATTACATAATGGTATAGAAAATGTCACGAAAGTTGAGTTTGACTCTTAGTATACGTGTATTGGTGCTGTCATTGTGACATACCCAATATTTTGAAAAAAAATCTCTATCGTACTTTAACTTCAATCGAAATGCGTTCGCAAGATTCCTTTGTTTCATTGAGAGCCTTTTCGTAGCCATTTTCAGCGCTCAAGTACTATTTCTTTAAATTGAAAATTTTCAATGTTCTTAAATCGGAGGCGAGTGCGCTTTTTATCTCTTCGGCGCCCTTGAATTCCGAACTGAGAAGAAATATGTATAAAAAAGAGCGTTTGAGCGCTTTCGGCGATTTTACGCATTATTTAAAAACATCAAAAATGTTCAGTTTAAGTGGAAAGCGCTCAAGCGCTTTTGGCGCTCCCGCGATTATTTCAAGTAAATTCGACAATTTTAAAATATCAAGTGCCCCCGAACGCCTTCGGCACTCGTGCGCCCTGGTTCTTTGAACCACTTGAACCCCCGCTAGGAATGGCTCTGAGTACTATCACAGTGGTCACTTGAAGCAAGGATAATGTGCATAAGCGAACAATCGATACGCATAAAAGCCGAAAAAATGACAACAAATATTCGTAATTGAAAATAATAGTTTGTGAGCGGTAAACGAACTCGATTGATGTTTACAGTTCATAGTGTGTTGCTCGGACACATTACAGGCCAGGTTAGCAAGCAGGCGAAAGTGAACGTCGACAAAGCCACCCATCGTGCTTGATATTTCTGGAGTGAATCGTGTGAATAAAATGTGCTGCCTATTTTCCATTATTCACACGAAATATTGTGTCAACAGTTTTGTTTAATGAATGCATAATTGGATGGAATCACTCAACATGAAACTCAAATTACTAACAACCTATCTATCTAATTGTAATTAAAAATTGTGTGCGATACATTCCCCGCTCTCTCTCTCTCTCTCTCTCTCTCTCTCTCTCTCTCTCTCTCTCTCTCTCTCTCTTTCCGTCTGTATTGTGTGCATGTGTTTCATTTGTTTTCTGCACACTCTGTTGCAATAATGCGATGACAATGTTGGAAATGGTTGACGATTACAAACGGAAAACGCAAATAAAATTTCTTTGTAATTGAATATCCAAAGTGGGAGCGACAACAGCATCAAAGCAAATTTTGTCCACCAAAGAGAGTGAGTGATTGGATGTGTGTGTAAGTGTGAGACAGAGAGAGAAGGAAACAAAGCAAATTTTGCTGAATCACACAATCTGTCATTCGATTTAGTGATCTAGCTAAATTCATACAGGAGATACCAAAAAAAACAACAACAACAACTAGAATACACAACGAGTGACACCCGAACAAATAGCTTCGAATGCAAATGGAAGAGATATGAATATATAACATAGTTGAGGCAACTAACGCCAAAAATAAAATTCACAAATGCCTATTTTTATAGCAACATCAATACCTATACAATAAATAAACGCATACCAAACTTGATGAGCAAGAGCAATCGGTATGCTTCGGTCGATTTTAGTTTATACAAAGGCCGCTCTCTCACACTTGATCGTTCGTTGTATGTTTCCGCCTCTCCTTTCCGCCGTCGTTCCGTTCAGTGTGAGTGTGTACACATTGTGTTTGTCGGATTGTGTGACGATAAACATCTAAAATAAACCACCTACTATTTGTTTTCGTGCGAAAATGAAAATTTGTTTTCATCACGAACCGAAAATAGGAGATAAAGGAGAGAAAAAAAAACGCATAAAAACACACATTTTCAGAAGGCAGAGCACCAGCGAACGCGTTTTCGTTTATCAGTCGAAACGATACACAGAACGAGAGCCACGGTTTTACGTTGTCGCATGGAAAACGCATCACACAATGTCATTCAGATCATCGGGTGATGTGCGAACGTGAATACGTCTGGAAATAATTTCAAGAAAAAACTCATACTAAACGGATTAACCAAGTAGAACATTTCTTAATGCCTTGTCACGGGAAATCGATGACTCATATCCAATCGAAATGTCGCCGTTTTCATTTCAGTTGCAGTCGCCATCCAGCAGTCGATATTCAAAGAAGAAAATAGAACATATTTTTTGGAAGAAAATGATTTTGAAATGGCCGATAGTCTGTCTGACTTTTTCAAATTTATCACACAGAGAAAAAAAAATACTGAAGGTATACACCAATAAATCACACTGCCACTGAATCGCCAGAATATAATAAAAATTGGTTCGGTTGGATCGCTGTGTGGCGTACAGTCAATGACAATCGAATGAGAGCAGGAAAATAGAAGAGAAATAAAAAACAATCACTGCTCTATAGTGCTGTGTATCAAGAATGCGATGCTATATAGCTGTTGTGTCATGCTTATGACTTTCTTTCTCGAAACAAAAATTGATCCGAGCCGAATATCGCGATTATGTGCGATAATGTGTCATCGAAAGTGGACTCAGCCTCACACCAATGTAGACTGAGATGACGACACCGCAAGAACAGAGAAAGATAAATTAGCTAAAACGAAGTGAAAAAAGAAATACTATGTAGAAACGAATTCTCTCGCTCAAACATCATGTTGATGTGTTTGTGAATTTTATTCGGAAATTTTGCCGTATATATATGTTTTTCTTTTCTTCTCTTTCTGTCGTTCATACGCGGATTCCATTCGGTCCCGAATTTCTTTCGTCTTCGTTTTTACGTCTCTGCTAGACTGTTTTGCTAGACAGCTCTTTTTCTATCCCGTTTTCTCTGATTCTGTTCGCATCTCGTTGAGAGTTTTGCTAGCTAAGCCGCTGTGTTTGTTTAATGTCGTTTTACAGTTTAGTAAAGTACTTTGAGTGCTAAGTGTAGTGTAAAAGTGTTTTACTCGCACGCGGTAAGTGAAATCAATAGTTTCCTTCATTTTATAAACACAACAATTATAGTCAAAGCAACGTTATGCCATCGCTGACGATTTTTAATTCCTCTCTTTTATATTGATTGAGAGATAAATTTAGTTAGAATGATTACGTTATCAGAGCGAATCGAATTTTGAAATGGTCCACAAGGAAAACGTTTTCAAATTGGATTTCGTTTCCTGGAATTTGAATCATGAAGTGCGTGCATTTGGGAATATTATTAATCACGTTTATTCGTTACAAAATTGAAAGTGTGATTGACGAATAATGTGAAGAAATTTTCTTTAAATATTTGTGCAAACAAAAATGGAAAATTATTGATCGATTTTTTCATGGAATGTAAATTGTCAAGTGTGCATTGAAAGACGTAGAAATATTTTTGTTCTGTTGTGATAATGGTTCATATTTTGTCTTTTGAGTCATTTGACGCCAATTTCTCGATAAAAATGGCAAATAAATTGCAAAACCTCGTTACAACTAGAAAAGTCGAAGCTTTGCCTGAAAATGCAAAAAATTAACATGAAAATTGTGTGATATTATGAAAAATGTGTGTAGAGCTAATGACTATTTTTATCGAAACTATGCGGTTTCACGGCAGCCAATCTATTTGCAATCAGTTGCTATATTCGAAGCCACATGAGATGTGGCAGCCAGAGATAATTTTCGCTTTTGTTACTTTTTTTTCTTTTCTTTTCGATTTTTTCTGTGTGTTGTTCTGCTTTGTTCTGTTCGGGTCGGTTCGCTTTCATTTTTGTCTACTCTTACCCACATATAATAAAAAATTCAAAAATAAAATTCAATCAAACCTTTCGTTATAAACGGAAGATAGCTTTCAACAGCAACGGCAGCAATGTTTCTCACATCTTTCTAGCCATTTGATCGTATGACACGGCGGAGTGTCTCATTGTGTGCATGCCATATGTTTGAATATGAATATGAATATGAAATTTGTTCATGTATGAATATCAAACTACCATTTTCTCTGCTTCTCTTGTTATATTTAAACATTTCGACACATCAAGTGGCAAGATCATAGAAAGAAAACGAAAGCGAGAATTTGGGTTGGTTGCCAATTTTATTGTACAGAACGTTAAGTATGCGTTATAGAGGATAGAAAATATCATCAGCAATAGTCTATTGAATTATGAGAATATCGCATGATGTATTGTGAAACATGACGATCTATTGCATAGAAACTGAAAAAATGGATTTCCAATGAAATCGGGAGGCATCGGAGAAAATATTTTGTGATAATTTAGCGTCCGTGCACACAGTTAACCGACTTTTTAGAATGATCTATACGTTTTTGCTTGCGATAAAATGTACAAAAGCCGCTCGAAAACACATAGTTCACCTTCTCTCGTTCCATCCTCACGTTCAACGAATGCATTTTAATATTGCTTCCATGTACACATTTCCCGCTCAATGCACAACGAAGAAGACGATGAAAAAACGCACATTCACCGTTCGATAATGTCCTCGATGTTTAATCCATTTGACGGTAAATGAATTTCGCTTTTCGTGGCACTTTTCGTTTCATGGTGGACGGTCAAAGTGTGGGTGATGTTTTAAAAAAAGAATCTGAAAATCAATTCGTGTTTCTACCAGTGTTCAACTTTATCCGTCTCGACTTTTATGTGAATTGTTCAAATGGAATACATATTGAAATATTTTGCTGTTCGTCGCGTTTAAATTTGGACTCGAGTTAAATGATTGAGGAAAAAATGTGATTCTAATTTGGACACTGTAGAATGGCCGCACAGAAAATGCGAAATTATCGGCAGCTTTTATTTGTACGCCAAATAGTCGAAGCGTCTAACACAACGATGAAACAAATGCTTTCAGTTTGGCACATGAATAGTTTGAACACTTTATTGTTCCATTGTATGATCTCTGCCCCGTTCGCCGAATGAGAGATAGGGATGAACACATGCAATACCATCGTCGAGATTTGAATGGGTGCCGTTTTTTTGTGTTTGTTTGTTCGCTCATTTTTCTTGTCGTTATCTTTTCTCTCATTCACTCTGTTTGCTCAGTGCACTTAAGACATCAACGACACTGTTATTTTTGTTGCCATTGCACTTTTGTCTCGGTAGAGTTGTGTCTATTGACGGCTAAACCAGAATCAACAGAACACTGCACTTGTTATACAGTTCAAGCATACTACTTTACAATTCGTTTGGTCTGTCTGTTGTGTGTTTATTTTGCGGATGGATTTTCGAAACGCAAATAGGAAATATTTATTGTCAAGAGCGAAAAGGGAACGACAACGAATGAAAAAGCTGCTCCGGCAAAAGGTAGAGACTGAGTGAGAGCATGAATTGTGTTTGCATTTAGTCGGCGCTATTTTCTTTGGACCAATGTGCCTCTCTTAATCGTTAGGTGTGAAACGGTTTTTCTTATTGTGTTGCTATTTGTTGCCGTACTCATTCTGTGTCAAGCCTCAGCTGTGGTGTGCGTGTTCTATGATGCATCAGTTTCACTTTGTCATTTATCATTGATCAATGCACACAATACCCAGTACTCGTTTAAATGTGTACTTCGGCGTCACACAGAAGTGTCATCACACAATTTCCAAACAAAATCGCTTACAAGTGCTTAACTCAACTTAATTACTTTGCTCCAGGGCACATGATTTTGTCTTTTCGTTTTGCTTCTGTATGCGACACTCTTATCTATCTCCATCTATAATCGGATTCAAGTTCAAAATGTTTCGGCGCTTTCGTAGCCGTAATCCATTGGATTTGATGATTTTTCTTTGATTTGCACGCGCTTGATAGATGACACGCTATGTAAATTACGGTTTTTGTTCCGTGGAGGGAAGAGGTGACAAAGCGAAACACCGGAACGAATTGAATGCGCCCACACACAGACACCGAACGAACTATGAATTATCGTCTGAAAATCATTCGAATGATTGATTTGAAATCATCATTTAATGATATGGAAACGTCAATTTGCGTAACAATCGGACAAAAAAGGATATGCGGATTCGAAACGAGACACGAGATATTCACCGCTTTATTTTTATCATTTATAAGCTCAAGATGCTTTGCTTGATTGTCAGTATTCTCGTGGGTGTAACATTCACCCCATCCAGATTCCAGCATATCCAACATCCAATGAGACAGTTAAAAATGGTTTTATTTCATTTGGCCATAATACGTCAAAATCAAATCCAAATCTGTGTGTGTGTGTGTTTTTTTTTCTCGGTTTGTCCTCTCTCTCTCTCTCTCTCTCTCTCTCTCTCTCTTCATATTTATTGTGTTTCGTCCGACATTTCCATTCCATCTCATTCACTCCCAACGATGAAGAGCGAGAGACACTCGATACGTGTATTGTACGCTGGTGAATAGAAGTTTTTTTTTATGGCCTGTCCATTTCATGATGTTGTTATTGTTGCTTGGCTCGTTTACTGGTTTGCTGCTGTTCAATGGCCTAAAGAAAGCGAATTGCGTCATAAATCACTGATGCAACCGACATAAAAAAAAAAAGTTGTGTATCTGTGTGTCTAAATGCGTTTGAATACGTTCAGTGAATAGCGGCGGCGAGCACATATTCATTTCACCTCCAACAAGAATAATGTGAACGACTGCCAAGATGAGTGAGACAGAACTCAACCAACCCGAACACACATAATATAAAAAGAAGAGAGAATCGTACACTGTACAGGGCACACGTTCGGTTTGGTTGGAATACACAACAGAAAATTATTCGCATTCACATGCGATGGATGGGTGCGTTGGCCAATGTTTCCTCTAACTCTCTCCAGCACACATAAGCACACATGAAATAGCAGCATACATGGAGACAAGAATTAAAGTATCCACAATAAACGTTTTCACAGAAAACTCATCTTTTGCATGAATTGATTTATTCCCTTTGTGTGGATGGCAGCGCAGTGGAACGAATGCAAAGAGCTTTTGACATAAATAAGTATTACACGAAGGACAGACAATGCATTAATGTACAAAATAGACGGGAAATAAATTCAAAGTCATGGCATTTCTCGATGTGGTTTCTTTTCGCTCACTTGCTCATTCATTTGTTTGTTCGCGTGCTCGCTTGCTCAATTCATTCCGGCGCTTGAAATGGCAAACGGGCCGGTGGCTGTGTGTATATCGCCGTGTGCATTTCATTTGATTATTTTTCTTTATGTTTCATGACATCTCTTTTGGTGCTATCTCTATCACTTCATTCCACAATTGGTGTTTGTTTGTTGGTTTCGTTTTGTTGACGCTTTTCTAGCATTGTTCCGCATACATATACACGCACATTTGGCCCATGCGTTTTGGCTCCAGTTCGCCGGTTTTCGCTTTCGGGCTTTGGTGTGTGTTTGAGTTATGTTTGAGTGATGGAACATAATTCATTTACCAGGTGTCCTATTGCTGATGTTGTGCATACAAAACCTGCTCTAAAAATTGCATGCATGTGTTGGTGTCGGTACAGTTTTATCTAAACGATGCGCTACGGAAATGAAATGTTGAACACCGATTACCAAAAAACAAAAGCACCATCACGAAAAGCAACAACATCTCAAACGAAACGACCACAATAACAAAGACCTAGCAACGAAGATATCTCTTAATGAATTTCGTATTTATAAATGTTCGGACCATTAAAGAGCGCATCTTCATGAATGCACGAATTGGTGGTCGAACCGTGCAAATACCACGTTCTTGCATTTTCCGAAAGAAATATTAAAAATGTACAAGACATTCAGACGAATGGTAGCGAGAACCGTCTCAGTTGAATGGCAAACTAGAGAGCGAGTGAAAGGATTAAATGGCTGAAAAGAGGATACGAGTTGTATTTCAGGGAGAAAGAGTTGATGACACGGTGTCGGGAGCTATAATAGATGCGGCTACCATCGAGTCGAGGCTTTTGTTCACTTGTTATAGTTTGAAACAGCATCCTGGCCACAATTTTCCTCTCTAGTTTTATTTCTCTTTTTTTGGTTCGCCCATATTTTTTTTCC